CATTACCAGTAATAGCAAAAATAATAATAGTAAGTTATTCGAGACTTATTGTTAGTTATCATTGGTCCAACCCCAGCAAGGAGTTGGATATTCTGAACAACACTAGATGATAGCCCCATTAGTTCATTATGAAATAAAATAATTTAAATATTACAAAAAGTATGCCAAAGTAACAAAAAGAATACATTTCAAATGTTTCATCATTATAAAAAAAGATAAGTGGCCTGGTGCAGTGGCTCACACCTGTAATCCCAGCACTTTGGGAGGCCGAGGTGGGCAGATCATGGGTTCGGGAGTTCGAGACCAGACTGACCAACATGGTGAAACCCCGTCTCTACTAAAACACAAAAACTAGCTGGGCATGGTGGCACACACCTGTAATTTCAGCTACTCAGGAGGCTGAGGCAGGAGAATTGCTTGAGCCCTGGAGGCAGAGGTTGCAGTGAGCCAAGATAGCACCACTGCACTCCAGCCTGGGCAACAGAGTGAGACTCTGTCTCAAAAAAAAAAAAAAATAGGTAAGCAAGGTGATGAATATATTAACTTGGCTTAGTCATTTCATATTGTGCATATATATCAAAATATTACATTGTACCCATAAATATATACAATTATTATCTGTCCACTAAAAATAACGTTAAAAAATAATAAATTGCTTAGAAGAAAGAGCAATACGACATACATAAAAATTTGAATAGAGATGTTAAATACAATAGAATATATAAATAATGTACTTATTAACATAATTTATGAATAGTTTTTTGTTCATTGTTAAGAATAACAACATGCATGATAAATATACACTAGAACTTTTTCCTACATTAAATGATACAACATAGCTTAGGCCAATAGCACTGGCGGTGTAAACAGACTATACCACTTACTGGCTTGTGTGACATTGGAAAAGTTACTTTGTCTCTCTATATCAGTGTTTATTCTTTGAAAAATGGGAAATGAAAAAATACCTACCTCATTAGATTGTTGTAAAAAATTAAATGAATTGGAAAGTAAGAAGGAGTTAGACCAGTGCTTGGCACATTTTCATTATCATATAAGTGTTAGCTTTTATTAATTACATTATTATTTCATTGTGGCAGAAGCAATGCTCTGTGTTCTCTATACCACTTTGTCTTCCAGAACACTAAGTATGTGATATTTTCTAGCATCTTTTGTAGGGAGGATATTATCATACGACAGAATTCTGGCAAATGAAACAGAGTGAAATTGTATATTGTTTCTATTCTATGGCACTTAGAAGGGAGCATGCCTTTTGGATTCCTCTCTTTTCTCATCAAGGAAACTGTATTAAGATGGTTCAATAAAAAAGCTGAGTCCCATCTGTCACCGGCACATCTGTTGATAAGATACATCTGACTTTATTGCTTACTCCCATTGGGGAGATAACCTCACAATCACAATAATATAGTCCAGGATTGGTGAAAATAACCAAGGTAAGGATTTTGTCACAAAGAATTCAAAGAATCTTAGCACACAGCCTACTGATTATTTCCATTGAATAGTTGATTGGATTTTTTGGAGGTTCCTATAAGCAACAATCAAAACATTTGCTCTCTCAGGACAATAGTGGAAAAGTAAAGAAATACTAATGAAGACAGTGAAATATCAAAATCATGTTAATGTAGGTAATTAGTTGTGGTTCAGTTCTCAGGGTCCAGATTGATTATATAATTATATGATTTTGCTTTTCAATAACATCATAGATTGAACGTACCTGGATCCCTGAGTCACTAGATGGAGGAGAGATTCTACTAATTGGCATCAAACTTAAAGTGAACAATGAGTAAGCTTTTATTTTGTTAAAATGATTGAGATTTGAGAGTCCAGTGTAGATTAAATTATCCTGATGAATACATGTCAATTACATAAAATAATACATGTGAGTTATGAAATCAAAATGAAAACAAAAAAAACAAGTATTGTTATTTAGTGGATACTGTTATTTGCTGAAGAGTGAATGTGCCTCTTCAGAAGATAGGAGTAAATTTTAGCACAGTAAAACTTTGGCATACTCATAAAATTGATGGCATTCACATTATCTAAATATCTTTTTATTTGCAAACTTTTGAAGGCGTATTGAGAGAACAAATCTGATTTCTATAATTTTTTTGTTTCTTAATTGATAGCCTTGGCATCCAAAGATGCGAATTTAAATTATAGAAAAACAGAAAAAGAAACAAAGACTAAATTAAAAAAAAAAAACAATAGAAGTCATAGGAAAATGGCAATAAATCTGACTTCTGCCATTGTTTATGACAAGACAACCTCAAGCCCCACCTCTTATGTTAGTATAGATTTTTATGTGGGAATTGTAACAATAGATGCTATGTTAATAGCTGCCCCACATACCGTTCCTCAAAGATTCATTTAGTCAGGTGGTGACAAATCTATATAACTACAAATAAATTCAGATTAGGTTTACAATCCAAAGGCTTAGATATATTATGTATTATAGGGTCAGTAATTCTCTAAGATGTGATCTTCTTCTTTGAGGATGGAGACATTAAAGCATGGTTGAATAACAGACACTGCCTGCTACCCAATGCTACCTTATAGCCATTTTCTGAGCAATCAAGGATATTTGACAAGACTGGTCATTTTGTGCAGGCAAATTTTTTACCATAATGCTAACTTCATGACTAATTGGGTCGCTGAGGTTTTTCCAAATGTGGGTCGGTGGTTCAGCTGCAGAGTTATTTCAATGGGGTCCTAACCCAAGAATACTTGGCAGCCTGTACAATTTTGAAATGTAGTAGTTGCCTATGATTAATGGCATCCAACTCATTTTTAAATATTATTGCAACCAAAGGAGGTTTTTTTTAAATTATGGGATTTCCTAGGTGATTGATATTGAAGTGTTTCTTTCTACTGTGTCTGAAGAGAATGCCTGAAGAAATTATGTAAATAAACTATTCAGATAATTTAAAGAAAAACTCAGGGCTGGGAACATCATGTGTTTTCCTTGTAGCCAGCACCCAGAAATTGTATCCTATATCCAGAGCCTGTTGTAAAGCAGAAATGTCATATCTCAGTGTTTATGGAGGTATCGTATAATAAGCCTAAGGATAACTTTTAGAGTGTGAAGTAAAATATGAGGTAACAAATGATATACTAAATAGTAGAAGCTATTATTATTTTTATAAACATCCAATATACATATATTGAGTAAAAATGAAACAAACCCATACATGCCACTCTGCAGCTGCATAATCCCTGCTCCATTTGTAGGTGCTCTGAACACTAACTAACAGTGTATGATTCAATACTAAGATGAGATTCTGGATAAACACTGTGGACCTAAGCCTTTGCCTAAACCTAAATGCTTTGTTTGTTTTCTTCTTTCTGTTTCAGTATTTTTAATGAGCTCAGTTTCTTGTACTTCCAAAGAATAGGATGGTAGTAGATGACCTGATAAAACGCAGTGTTTCGTAAGATCTCAAATTAGTCAAATCTGAATGCCATCCGGTATCTTACATAATGCCTGATGCTTTTTTCTTTTGACATTAATAGCTTTTTAAGCCTTTGAGCTAGAGTGTAATGGGGTAAATTAGGTTCTTAAAAAAAAAATGGAATTAATAGGATATATAGATAGATAGATCAAGAATTTTATTATGGGAATCGACTTATGCAATTATGGAGATTAAGAAGTCCCGAGAGCTGCTGTCTGAAAACTGGAGGGTGAGCCTCTGGTGTAAGTCCTGGAGTCCTCAGGTATGAGAACCAAGACATCTAATGTCCAAAGAGAGGAGGAGATGGATGTCACAGCTTAGAGAGAGCACGACAATTCACCCTTCATATGTCTTTTTGTTCTATTCAGGCCCTCAGTGACTTGGATGATGCCTGCCCACATTGGTGAGAACACATCTTTACTCACTTTACTGATTCACATTGCTAAACTCTTCCAGAAGTGTCCTCACAGACACACCCGGAAATAATGTTCAACCAGCTATCTGGGCATCCCTTAAGCCAATCAAGTTGACATTAATCATCACAAGTAGTGAACTTTAAGTCTGTCTGTCATAGTTGCTTGTGTGTTTCTGACACCTGTCTTAAACTGGGAAAGTCTGAAGGAAAAGAATTACATCTTATTCCTCCTCTGTTTCTCCATAGAGCTCTATATAGCTGCAGTTGCAAAGAGATGCATGGGCAGAGAGTAGAGTAGAGTGCTGCAGAAAGCAGATATTGAGGGGAAGCTCTCCTGAGGGTCCTGAAATTTATAGTTGATTTTCAGCAGATTCCTGAGGATCATGCACATGGGCTCCACAGGCATCTGAGAATATCAGCCACGTCTTCTCTTACATCTGATACTTCTTGATGTCAGGAAATCAGGCAGCAGCTTCCCCAGCCATCCCATGTTTGTATAAGCTTTTCATTTCCTGTATTATGTGTTGTCACTTGGAATACAATGAATGAGTTTTGTTTTATTAATAAAAACTCTGTTCAATATACTGAGGGAGAGAGAACCAAATGAACAGAAAAAATAAGTTGGAGATTCTCCAATGCTATATGCCCCAACATCATGTAAGATTAAAACAAGTTCTTGATAGATTCTTGCCTTTTAGTTGTAATAAATATCTGGAAGCTAAAAACTGATGATTTTAAGATTAGGTACTCAAACTACCTATGGGTACTATGCTCACTGACTAGGTGACAAATGATTTTATAGTACCCAATAGGTAGTTTGGGTACTCCTCCTACCTTCCACTCTCAAGTAGGCCCCAATATTCATTGTTCCCCTGTTTGAGTCCATGTGTACTCAACATTTAGCTCCCACTTGTAATATCAAAATAGACAAAGAAATGCAGAGCTAAATACAGTGATTCTTGCCTTTATACCGGCAACTCCAATACAAAGATCGATATGCTTTTGATTTAAACACTTTCTTAGTTACTGGTTAACTGGGGAAAGATTCACAGAGAAAAATAAAAAAAGGCATTACATAACCTTGCCATTCAAAGTCATTGTCATTGGCATCACCTGCGTGTTTGTTAAAACTAGAGACCCTGAATATCTTTAACAAGATCCTGAAGTGATTAGCACAGGCATTAATAATGAGAACCATTAAGAGGGAGGACTTGTTAAAACAGAGATCACGCAGTCGCACCCCAGCGTTTCAGATTTAATTTGTCTGGAGTGTAGCCTAGGCGTTGAGATATTTAAGAGCTCCTCAAGGAATTCCACTGTGAAGGGAAGTTTCAGAGACAGCAATACGGAGCTCTTCTGCTATACGGAGTACCTGCAGGAGATTTAGCAAGTTTGGTAAGTTAACAATAATGACTCAGAATTTTTTTTCCAGGTGCATTTTATCTTAAATAGCTCCATTAAATCCAGGTCCTGAGCTTTTCTCCAGTGACTAGGATGTTTGGACGTTCGCCAGCATTTTATAGGGTTGCCTGGCAAAACTCACTAACTATTGTCTATTTCCTCCCGAGCATTGTGCTTGCAATTAAATTATTAGCTACAAAGTAGGTGGATGCTTTTTTGAAAGTATAGAGATAGCTTTGTTGTCCGCAAAGAGCTAGTCTTTCTAAAGGCTTCCTATGATACCTGTAAGAAAGCACCACAAACCTTGCAGCTTAAAACAACACATTTATTATCTTAGACTTTTGTTGATCAGAAGTCCAAAATGAGTCTTACAGGGCTAAATTCAAGGTGTCAGTAGGGCTGCATCCCTTTTAAAGGCTCCGGCAGAGAATCCATTTTCTTGCCTTTTTCAGCTTCTAGAGGCCACCTGCATTCGATGGACGTGCAGTCCTTCCTCTGCTTTGAGAGGTGCCACTCTAACCCCTGCTTTCATCATCACCTCTCTTTTTCTGGCTCTGACTTGCTTGTCACCTTCATGCAAAGACAAGCATTTGGCCCACCCAGATAATCCTGAATAATCTCTATATGTTAAAATACTTAATCACATCTACAGAGTCCTTTTTGCCATGTAAGAAAACATGCTCACAGGTTCTAGGGATGAGACATGGATATCTTGGGGACAGAAGAGGTGTTATTGTATCTGCCACTTACAGTTAAATGTGTCAAAAAATATTGCACTCAGTAGCAATAACTTTTTAAAGAAGAATGTATTAAAACAATCATGTATGTGTGAACCAAATAATCATTGTGGTTATTTAAAATACATAGAGGAAGATTTGCATTAATCACTGCATTTTCATGCAGCTAAGATTTCTTTATTTTAATTGTTCTCACATTATTTTGCAGAAACTTCCCTCTCTATCCTCCCCTTTCTTTTTTCTTTTTGAGACGGAGTTTCACTCTTGTTACCCAGGGTGGAGTGCAATGGCGAAATCTTGGCTCACTGCAACCTCTGCCTCCTGGGTTCAGGCAATTCTCCTGCCTCAGCCTCCCGAGTAGCGGGGATTACAGGCACATGCCACCATGCCCAGCTAATTTTTTGTAATTTTAGTAGAGACAGGGTTTCACCATGCTGACCAGGATGGTCTTGATCTCTTGACCTCATGATCCACCCGCCTCAGCCTCCCAAAGTGCTGGGATTACAGGCGTGAGCCACCGTGCCTGGCCTCCTCCTCTTTCTTTACTGGACCTTACTCGCTGCCTAAATCTCTCATCCGTTTAAACAAGTTAAAGTTGTCTTCTGCTGCAGGTATTCATTATTTATTCCAGATCAGGGATTTTCAGTCTTGGTTACCCACAGCAATGACCTAGGGAGTTCTGAAAGAAATCCAGGCTCCAAGCCACGTTAATGACCAATTAAATCAGAATCTTTGGGGAGAAAACTCAAGTAGTACTGTATTTCTTTTCTTTTTCAACTTTCATTGTACATTCGGGGGTACACGTGCAGGTTTGCTACATGGGTAAATTGCAGGTCACTGGGGTTTGGTGTACAAATGCTTTTGTCACCTAGTCAGTGAGCATAGTCCCCAATAGGTAGTTTGGTTACTCCTCCCATCTTCCACTCTCAAGTGGGCCCCAATGTTCATTGTTCCCCTGTTTGTGTCCGTGTGTACTCAACATTTAGTTCCCACTTATAAGTGAGAACATGTGGCATGTAATTTTCTGTTCCTGCTTTATTCACTTAGAATAATGGCCTCCCACTGCATCCGTGTTGCTGCAAAGGACATAATTCCATTCCTTTTTTTATATATAGAGTCTCACTCTGTCACCCAGGCTGGAGTGCAGTGGCATGATCTCAGCTCACTGCAACCTCCACCTCCTGGGTTCAGGTGATTCTTTTGCCTCAGCCTCTGTGTAGCTGGGACTACAGGCATACACCACCATGCCCGACTAATTTTTTTGTATTTTTCGTAGAGACAGGGTTTCACCATCTTGGCCAGGCTGGTTTTGAACTCCTGACCTTGTGATCCACCTGCCTCTGCCTCCCAAAGTGGTGGGATTACTGGTGTGAGCCACCATGACCGGCCCATAATTCCATTCTTTTCAGAACTGCATAGTATTCCATAGTATGTATATACCACATTTCTTTATCTAGTCCATCACTAATGATCATCTAGGTTAATTATTGTCTTTGCTATTATCAATAATACTGTAATGAACATAGGTGTCCATATGTCTTTTTGGAGGACTAATTTATATTTTTTGGATACATATTCTGTAATGGGATTGCTTAGTCTAATGCTATTTCTGTATACAATCTTTGAAAAAGAGTTCACAAACTTGGAGAAATCACAAATTTGGGGAAATCTCCATACTGCTTTCTATAGTGGCTGAACTAATTTAAAGTTGCCTTGATTATGTCAGTGTGTATCTCAGTTTGAAAACTACTCCTTCAGAGTTTCTGTTTCCTCCTTCAAGCTGTATGCTCTCTTCCTAATTACTGAAAGAAAGAAGAAATCTACTTGGCACCCTGTTTGCTGAGCAACCCTCTGATGTTTTGTTTTTGTTGTTGTTTTCCAGCAGCCCCAAAACAAGTTTGTAGTCAGAAGTTAACCTAGCAGTATGTACACCCTCTTGAGAGTATAAGAACTTGGGAAATGCCATCAAGATACCTTTACCCGGTGCCCCAACACTGACAAAGCCAGTAGGAGTAGCTTGCTGGAGAGGTGAGCTTTGCCCAGGTGAATGTCCCGTCTTTCTTCTCTTCTCTCTAATACTGTCCAAGGATAACTTTGGAAATTAAGAACTCTTAATCTGAGAACACTCAGGGGCCAGCTTTTTGAAAAATGGACCTGAGTCACTCCTGGAAGGAGTCTTCTCTGAACCCAGATGAAAGGCATAAGCCACTCTCTGCACAGTGTTATTTTGTTTGTTTGTTTATATGTCCTGGAATCAGTGGCATCATAAGGTTATCGATGTACTTCCGTGTGGCAAATTTGAAACAGGCATTTCTATTCTTAATTACAATAACATTTGCTAACTTTACTATGATAGGCACCCTGTTAATTTCATTACCTATGCTGCTGTACTTTTTCATGTCTTACCCCTTTCCTGCTTAAATCTTCTCCATTAATACCACCTATTGACATCTAATACACTATATATTGTATTTATTTTATTTACTATATTCCTGCTACCATTAAAAAGGAGAACAGAATCTAAGAATCTTAGTTGTTTTCCTTTCTTCTGGCTACCACTTTATCCCTAGTATCTAAAGTAGTTCCTCACACACAATAGGTGCTTAGTAAAATATATTCAACTATATGCCAAAAATAAATTTATTCATTTGACATATATTTGAACATATGATTTTCATTCATATGAATGAAGGAATGAATTTTATCCTCATAACAGCCCTATGAGAAAAGTACATCATTAGGCCTGTTTTACAAGATGGTGAAATTGAAGCACTGGAAATTAAATTCTCAACTAGAAAATGGCAAAGAAGATTCCAAATCCAGGCAGTCTGACTCTCAGTCTATCCCCTTGACCACTGCTTTATAATGATTCTTTTCTTTATCAGCTACACAATTAAACATAATTCCCTTAAAAACAGTGCTGTGGGGAGAAGCTATTCGTCCCAGTCTGGCATGGTCCAAATATTGCCTCTGACAGCTCCTAAGTAGATGTTTTCTGGCAGGTAACATGCCATCTCCGAGTTCTTAGTTCATATGTAAAACAGGAATCTACCTCTCAGGCTTATAGAAATGACTGAGTGAGAGATGGTACATTTTCTTCTTCACTTCAACAGGCAAAGCTTCCCCCACCACATGGTAGCTTCCAGTGAGGCAGGCGAATGCAGGCACTTACTAAAGCTTTCAGGTCTCCCTACATTCTGACCATGTCAGAGCCTTGGACCAAGGAAATGGTATATGACATTTGGGGCTGAGAAAGATGTTTCAGGAGACACAAGTTGACTCATCCCCATATTTTGGAATATTTTCATGCAAAGGCGAAAGAAGTGCCCTTTTTGTCCCCAAAGATGCTACTCCTATCCGCTTTTGCTATGCATGATTTTATTTAGTTTTAAATGACTCTGTGATTTGAGAGATAATCTATGGCTTTGCAGAATATATATATGGATAAAAAACTAATAACTATATATTTTTTTCTGATGGATTTGTTTAAAAATGAAATTTTAAGAAATACCTGTTGTTGCATGGTTTTTGAGTCCCCTGGCCTGCTCTGTTGAATGAAGATTTCAAAATGATTATTTGCTGTGAATATTAATAATATTCACCATAAACAACATATGGTTCCATAGATCTGAGGTGTGATCAGAACATTTTCATCACCTAAGAAAGAAATCCTGACCCACTGGCATTCACTTTCTACTTGCCCCTTGACAGCTGCTAATCTACTTTCTATCTCTATCATTTGCCTATTCTGGACATTACATGCAAATGGAATCATACAATATGTGGCCTTTTGAGCCTGTTCTTTTATGCAGCATAATATTGTCAGAGTTTATCTATGTTGTGGCATGTTTCAGTACTTCATATTTTTATTACTAAAAAATACTCTACTGTATGAATATACTGTATTTTATTTATCCATTCATCAGTTGATGGACATTTGAGTTTCTCCTGCTTTTTGACTATTATTAATAATGTATGAATGTTTCCATATGTTTTCCTGTGAAAATACTATTATTTTGGATATACACCTAGCACTGGAATTTTTGAGTCACATGGTAACTCTATGTTTAATGGTATTTATTCATTTTAGCAAAATAAGCATTGTAAAAAATTAAATTCATTACATAATTTGAGTGGCAGAATGAAAGGGAGGGTCCCAAAGGCAGACAGTTTATATTTATTATCCAATTTAATCTTCACAATTGCGGTGAGATAGACATTTATATTTATGTTTTGTAGATGAAGAGACAATCTCGG